GGATGAAAGTGAGGAGTCTGGAAGCCCAGAGGAAAGAAAGAGACCTCTTGGTGTTATCACTGCTGCAGGGAAAAGATCTTAAGTACAGGTGCTCACCGTAACACTTCCATTGCCATGCTATGATCAGTTCTGCTCCTGTATCTATACACACATTTGCATGTATAGTGGCACCTTGGTTTTCGAAAGTAATCCGTTCTGGAAAACCGTTCGACTTCCAAAACATTCAAAACTCGAAAACTGAATACGGAATCCTCAGTACAACAGGGAAACTCAAAATGGAAGCCACGTGGCATGTTCGGCTTCTGAAAATCATTCAAAAACCGAAGCAGTTACTTCCGGGTTTTCGGCGTTCAAAAGCCAAAACGTTCGACAATGGAGACATTCGAAAACTGAAGTTCCACTGTAAATGTGTGTTGTCCATGCGTATTCACGAAAAGGCTCATTTTGGGGAATTAGCAATACTACTCTTCAGATATTTGAGACTGTTAAAAACGTAAGGACATAAATTGAGCCTTCTGAATCAGGCCCACACCCCATCTCGGCCCCTTCTCATGGAAGCCAGCCAGGTGCCTGGGAGAAGCCTTCAAGTTAAGGCATAAGCACAACAGCATTCTCCCCTGCTCGTTTCCAGATAGTAGCCAGAGGCATAGTGTCTCTTGACAGTGAAGGTAGAACACAGACATGTAGCTAGGAGCCATGAGTAGCCTTATCCTCCATTAATAGCCTTATCCAGCTGCACCTTTAACTCACAGATTAACTCACACCACCTCCTTGGTCACTTCCATTGCCCTTTTCTGAACTGTTCCTGAACTGTGTCCAATTCCACAATAACCTTTTTGAAGTGAACTCACTGAATTGTACACAGTATTGCAAATGCAGTCACACTATAGATTAGGATTGCCATGTTTCAAAAAGTGAAAATCCAGACACAAAAGTTGTTGAGCTTATTTTAATAAAATTCATCAAAATCTACACTACCAGCATGGCTATGTCTGGAAGATTCTGGAGGTGTGGCAATCCTGCTATAGATTTGTATAACTGCATTATGGTATCAGCATAATTCCTTTCCATTCCTTTCCCTAGAATGGAATTCGTTTTTTTTCCACAGCAGCAGCACAGCTTTACTGGTACAAAGAAATAATTGCACTGGCTTTAGTAAATCTGCTTCGTTTGATGAATATCTTGTGGATTAATATTACTGTACTTTCTTCAGAGAGTTTGCTTTAAGCACACAACAGCTACAATTATATTTACTTATAAATATTAAAGGCAGAGCTTCACAAACTAAGATTCACTGGAAATATAGGTCATCGCTCTGTTTGATTTTGCATTTTAAATTTATTTGGTTTTGCATTTTAAATGTTTTTTAAAAATAAAAAATGAATTAAGTTTTTAAAGTAGTATCATGCTGATATAAATTGATTTAGAAGCAACACAAGCAGCTCTTTGGCTTGAAATGCCACTTGTGTAACAAACTGAATGTTGGAATCTCATGACCTCACAGCAATTGTTAGCCAAGGTGAGCATTAGCTCATCTGTGATATCATTCTGTATCCATTCCAACATTCAGTTTGTTACACTTCACAATAGTGAAGCAAGTCACAACTTTGTAGGAATGTTTTCTGTACAGAGCAGAAGTATGATCAAAGAAGGTTGAAATGAACATTGGAGTGCATCTACCGGTATTGTCTTTTCTGTCTTGCAGCTGCTTTTGTGAGCTTGATTCGTAACCATTACATTTTTGTTACTGCCATCATTACCTAACTAATTAACTTGCCAGACTTAATTCTGATTCTATGTGGCCTATTTATCCTGAGTATCCTGTCAGTGACCAGATAGTTAAGCACAGGCATAGGCAAACTCGGCCCTCCAGGTGTTTTGAGACTACAATTCCCATCACCCCTGACCACTGGTCCTGTTAAGCTAGGGATGGTGGGAGTTATAGTCCCAAAACTTCAGAAGGGCCGAGTTTGCCTATGCCTGGTTAAGTAGATCACTGCACAAAAAATATGCCTCCAACTTTGCCCTTTTTTGTTGGTGGAAGTGGCAGAGGGGCAAAGAGAGGAAGATTTAAAAAGGCAGAAAAACTGATATCTGTTAGTCATTTGCCTATCAGCACTTCTCTCCCAAAATTACAATGGGAAAGTCATAAGTCTCTTGAAGCAAAAACGCATCATAGCTATGTGCTTTGCTAAGATTGTTTAGTGGGGTGGAGTTCCCTCAGTCCACTTTGATTCCAATCCACGATGTAAGTCAGTTCTGAGAGAAGGTAAAGCCAGGATCACTCAGATGTCCTTTAGAGAAGCCTTCCTCGGTGACCTCCCAATGTTGTTTCACCATAACTCCCACCTTCACTGACCTTTGGCTATGTTTCCTGGGCCAATCTGAAGTTGGAGACCAGCATCTGAGGACACCAGGTTGAGGAAGTTTCATGTAAAAGTATCTGTGCTAGGCATCATCCCATGTGACCACATCTTCCATGGCCTCAATGCCAGTTGTTCCTGCCAATCCCAACAGCTTAACAACAGAAAGGGGATAGTAGTCACATGGACACATAACAGGCTTGCACTGCAGCAGCAATAATGACTTATGCATCCAACTGCTACATGAAGGCAACTACTCCAGAAATTGGAAACTGTCCTGGTCCAGTGGGGTTACTAGACCTTAGTACCATCTCTGATGGATTCTACAAGTGGTGTCCTCACTTTGAGATTCCATCCAATTGTGCCACCTTGTGCCCGAACAAGATTTGTCTGAGCAATATTTTGTGATTATCTTGGGATATGGGATCAACTGACCAGCAGAGGCCAAATTTGTAACTAGATTCTTGAAAAATATCTGCTATCCAATGGGTGTGCAGAATGTCAGAAGCTGCTGGAATCTGCGGATGGATTAACGTCCAGAGAACTGAAGCAGTAAGTCCAATGTTTCTTGAACCATTACGAGAATAACAAAATCATGGTATTCTTTCTCTCTCAATTTGATTACAATAGTGCAGAAACCATATCTCTGTTAGTTGCTACCTATGATTGCACACATCAGACCCCTCCCCAACAGAATATTCAGAGCAAAACAGGTTATTAAAAAAATCCATGGTACACTATCCAGCATTTATCATTTGAAACAAAACACAATTTGAAACTCTGAAGAATTCTAAAAAAGTCAGTATCAAAACTACTGTTATAATATGTTAGATTATAGAGTCATACAGCAGTCAGGATACAAACAGCAATCTAGATTGCTATGAAATAACACAACTTTTGAATTTCTTTCCAGTTCTATATACTCAGCCACCTTGGAATTAACCATTCTGCAAATACTATTTACAAAGAAAGAAGTAAGAAAGAATTAAGAATCTCAGGAAAAACAAAGCACCTAGTCCAAATTCCCCTCTAAATTTCTAAAGTCTTTGTTGAACAACTGGCTATCCTCTTCAAAATTATGTTAAATGAGTCACTTGAAATTTCGTAAAGACCAGATCTGAGGCAGTAATTGCAGTAATATCAAACACAGGTAAATATCAAACAAATCCAAGCTTTTTCTGTCTAATTTCTCCTTCTTAATCAAGACTACTCATGAAATAGGGCTGCACTGCATTAATGAGCTGAGCTTCTGAGTACTTTGTGTTAATCTTTTTACATTACCTTTGGGGATGGGGGATAACACACAACAGCGATTACTATGTGCCATGAGAATGCATTCTTTATACCAGGCAGCAGGGGGGGTCTCTGACGCATGGGCCTTATTATCCCTGTCACAGTTCCCAATTTGGCCCACAAGGTCATTTCCCCTCAACCATGCCCACCGTCTCCATGCCTGAAGTCATATGTGACATCAAGTGTGGGCAAGTGGAAATGAGCCCTTAATGTGCTCTCAACAATTCTTTGGCAAGGAGTGGCTCACTATCAGCACCTGTTAGCTGGCCTACCAGTGCTTTCAACAGACAAACCTGAAGGACATGGTCTTCCCAGACAGGGATGGGGAATGTTTAAGCCTTCGCATTTTGTTTGACCACAGCTTCCATCAGCCCCAGTAAACATGGCCAATGATTAGGGGTGATTTGAGTTGAAATTCAGCAAGATCTGGAAGGCCATGTGCTCTCCCTCCCTGTTCTAGGGAATATCCATGGGGGTGATATGTGCTAGACCTTTCTGTAGAAAGAGTGGGTGGAAGTCCACAACAGATTTTGTTGTGGCCAGACATTCTCATTACAGTGGTACCTCTGTTTACGAACTTAATCCATTCCAGAAGTCCGTTCTTAAACGGAAACCGTTCTTAAACCGAGGTGCACTTTTCCTAATGAGGCCTCCTGCCACTGGTGCCCTTCCACCGTTCAGCTTCTGTTCGTAAACCAAGGTAACGTTCGCAAACTGGGACACTACTTCCAGTTTTGCGGAGTTCGTAAACTGAATAGTTCGTAAACAGGGCTGTTCTTAAACCGAGGTACCACTGTAACTCCAAATGGAGGCTCATATCCCTCTTTTACAATCCAGTACAAAGCAGCCAGACAAGTGAGATCACAAATTCGAACTGGGCTGTTCTCAGCTGAAACATAGGCAACTAGAATATTGTCAGGCAGGTGGTCCTTTTCAAAATTTCCTACCTCTGTTACATAAATATCAGCACCTTAATAATTACAAGTTGTATTTGATTTCCACAGGCTGAGAAGGAAAATGGAAAACATCAATAATGTCATGATGGCAAAGGCAAGCACCTTGTCTTCCCACACTACTGATGCATGCAAGAATACTGTCAAATACATGCAAACTTCATACTTCTACAGATTAAACGTGCTGGCTGTATCTATTCCCATCTGCATCGTTGGATTAATAGCTAATGCAATTGTCTTGTGCCTTTACTGCTTCAAAATCAACAAGCCAAAGTTAGGCCCATATTTTTTGAGTGTGACCTTTACAAACCTTATTGTAATCTTCTCCAACCTTGAAGTGGCTGCTTTTCTTCTCGCAGGAGTGGAAACCTCTACAGTATTCCAACGTGTAATGGAGATACTTCATATATTTGCATATGACACAAATATATACGTCGTAACATTTCTCACTGCTGACAGATTCCTCATTGTCTATTTCCCAGTCTGGTGGCAACATCACCGGACCAAGCATTTCTCGGTAATGATGTGTGTGATTTTGTGGTTCGTTTCTGGCCTAGAGTCACTGGTGGAATATTTTTCCTGCTATGCAACAGTCAGTACTTGGGCTTATACCACCTGTAGAACTGCAAGCGTGCTGGCACTCATCATGGAGGTCATTATTTTTTCCTCCTGCATTTTCTGTTTCTCTTTTGCCATTTGGATCAGAATGCAAAGATCACAGCAAAAGCATCGAGCAAGACTTGACATAACCATTGTGGCCATAGCAATTCTTATTCTTTTGCTTACTGTCCCAGTTAGACTTGTTAATATTATTTCACTTTGGGTAAGTGCAATAGATTATTATATGTTCACTAGCATTAGTCTGTTACTGGATTCTTCTACCTGCAGCACCATTCCTTTTGTATTCTTCATTGTTGGAAGCTGGAAGAGGCAGAAAGGCTTTGAACCCTTCTATATGTTTCTTGAGAGGGCTTTAAAGGATACTGAAGTCACATCAGAGCCAACACCAGCGGACCAGGAGCAGGCATGACAATATCCTTGGCCTCAGAAATAATTTCTTTTTTTAAAAAAATGTGTGTTTTATGGAGAGAGAAACGACGTTCCTTCCAAGTTTCAGAATAAATTTATTTCAAATACTTTAAGGTTGTTCTTTACATTGATTCTAACACACCCACCTAGGCATGGCACTAGGGCCACTCTCTCCTTTGGGTGGCTACCTAGGCAGAGGCAGCAGGTGGGCTGAAAGTAGAGGACTATAGTCAAAACTAGACAGCAGAGATGACAGATGTCAGGGCAGGTGCCAGGAGCAGGACAGCAATAACTCACATGGTTAACTCTCTTCCAAGAAACAAAAAAAGCCCAGGAGGCCAAGCCTAGTGACCATAGCAACTCTTCCCAGTAAGTCTAACTAAACGTCTCCAGCTTCCCCAGGTCCTTCCCAAGCAATCTGAGACTCCAATGCCTTGTCTTTGTTCCACCCTCTTCATACGTCTTCTGGTTCTTAGTGACCCAGGGGGAGGCAAGCTGGTCACAGAAGGAGGGGGAGACCCCCTGGCTTCTTCAGCAATCAGCCTCATCTCTGCCTCTCGCCCTCCCTTCCTCTCCAGCCTTTGCTTCTGCCTCTGATTCCGGATTGCTCTCTGACATAAGACCCTTCCTGCTCACTACACCATGTTATCTCTTCAGTTTCTGACAACTCCTCCACTCAGTCTTCTCCCTCTGACCACTCTTCCTCGTCCCACAACGAATCCCCTGGATCAGAGTCTTCTTCTCTTTGGGTTCCCCAGTTGGTGCCTCCCACGGTTCCTCTGCATAACCACAGATTAGTGGGGGCAGAAGTGGCTGAGCCACCAAAAACTGAGCGTGACCTTTCTCAACGTAGTCATTCAGTAAGTCCACTTACCTCGGAATAGGTGCAGCAGTGTTGTGGGCCATCTGCCTCCTTCTTTAGATCTGACAAGGGGTTGATTCAGACTTGCTGTAGTGGAGGGCTCCTGGCAGGTGGGAGGCCAAAAGGGCCTGCTCACCAGGAAGAAGTTTGAATCCAAGCCTACCGACAAATTGGCCAATGGTGAGCCGGTTTGGGGACAGGTGCTCATGCAGTGGTGGACGGGACCCAACTGAACAGCAAGCTTCACTTGGGTCTGCTCCTCACATGAGGCCCGCCTCTTCCTTTGCACATAGTTCCTTGTCAGATCTTGCTGCAAATGGAGCTGTGTGGGCCACTGTAAGAGGCCAAAGACAACAGTGCCAGAAGAGGCTGAAGATCAGCGAGAAACATCCGAGGAGTGGGGAGAGCAAGTGGCAGCAACCAGCAGCTCCAAGCTAAATTGCCACAAAGTCAAATTCACACCCAGATTTCAGAGTGCCTCCCGGTTGCCAGTTGAGGTTTGCATGTGGATTTGCGTTGGCTCGTGAAGGAATCCGAGTGGGACCATTTTGTGTTGGTCCACGTGTGCCATCCATCACCATGTGGTTTGGTGAGCTCTACTGCAAGCACTATTCTGCTTCAAGTGAACTGAGTGGTCATGTGATGCATTTTCCTGGAACGAGCTTGGTTAGTTTTTTTCAGCATTGCTCAACTAGCCATCTAGGAGCCTGGGTTTATAGCTCCCCCTTTTTTCCTGAGCTTATTTTTTTTCCTGTGTTGAGCAAGTAGCCATCCGGCAGCCTTGGTTTATAACCCTACCACCACCTTTTCTGTTTTGGCAGAGACTGAATAGCAGGGTGATTGGTTTGTTCGCAGCATAACGCGGGCTACCATCACTGGCTGCCCCGAAGCAAAACTAAGAAAGAAATGTTTATGGGGGATAATCAAAGGGTTTTCACCTCATAGGCTTGCCATGACTGTTCTGATGTCAGGACTGCTTCAGTTTGCATTGGTGAATACAGATCTCAGGAATTTATGGTGCTTGTTGGATTCTTGCTCAGTTGCTGTGGGGGTGTTTAATCATTCTAAGCAAATTTAGTCTGTTGCCATTGAATTTTGAGCAGCACAGTGTTTAAGCAACATGTTTGCAAACGACAAAAATTCTGAAGAGTTATAATTGATTCATCGGGCTACTGTAATTTCCTCTATCTTGAGCAGGGATTGGGATTGGGTGGAGTACAAGAATTGCAGATGTTGATTGGTGTTTGATGCAAAGGATTTTTGTGGTCATCCTGTTTCCCCCAATGAATTGTAGTTCGTTTGGCGCAGCACTTGGTTCTCTCCCTTGAATGAAATGGAAATTTGATTGCTAGTAGTTTTCCCCTCCCCCGCTTGCTCAGTTGCTTGTGTCCAAATTAATTCAACAGTTGATCCTTTGTGCTGCTAGATCTATCAGTTCCCTCATTCATCCTAAAATTAATTTTTTAAATTTTAAATTTTTAAATTTAATTAACTCACAACTAGTTTCTCTCATACTCCTGTATTCATGCTGCTTGGTGGGTGCACCTCTTTATAAAATGGTGATCAGACACATTGAGGCAGAGTCTGCAGACCCATGGTTCCCAACGTGGGGCAATTCAAGAATGAGTTATGAACAGTGAATAGCCTTTTAGGCTTCCTCCATGTGAATAGGAGTTCACTTTTTGAATAATAAGAATTATATGTCATTGGGGGGGGGATCAGGATATTAGAGGTGCTTAGGTGGGGCATGGCCAAAAAAAGGTTGGGAGCCACTGCCCTAGACCTTGAACTATTTACGTAATAAGCAGCACACTATGGCAGTCCTCAGTCCTGGACATGGTGTCTGAGATGGAAGATGGGGGAAGTGATCACTATCACAACATGGGTCCTGCAACACCAAGTAATAGCTATGGAACAGAGGTACCTCTATCAGCCTTGGCTGATACACTGACTGTACCTACTACTGGGATAAAGAAACATATCCATCCATATTTGCAATATAATCCTGGTCATGTTTATATGGAAGCAAGTCTCATTCTGCTCAACTGGGTTTGCTCCCCAGTAAATATGTTTAGGGCTGCAGCCTTCATGACTTTCAGATTGTAAAGCATGTAACACATTCTACATGAGGCTGCCCCCCAAGATGGTTCAAAAACTTCAGCTACTGCGGAATGCTGATACTTATTTATTAATAAGTATGGAATGTTGTATCACATCTATTTTGAGACATCTGTGCTGTTATTGCCTACTAGTCTTCTACCAGTCATCTACTTGGACAATCAAGTCTGGTTCTCTGTCAAACCCAAAGCAGATGTGAGGTTGAAATGGATCCAGAATGATGCCATGGCGGACATCACCAGACTATGGCTAACAGTTGCTATGAGGTCATGGGATTCTCATATTCTCTTTGTTACATACAGCACACATCATCATAGTGAGGTGGGTCGTGCTTTCACAACTATAAAGGTAAAGGTAAAGGTACCCCTGCCCGTACGGGCTAGTCTTGCCAGACTCTAGGGTTGTGCGCCCATCTCACTCTATAGGCCGTGGGCCAGCGCTGTCCGGAGACACTTCCGGGTCACGTGGCCAGCGTGACATCGCTGCTCTGGCGAGCCAGAGCCGCACACGGAAACGCCGTTTACCTTCCCGCTTGTAAGCGGTCCCTATTTATCTACTTGCACCCGGGGGTGCTTTCGAACTGCTAGGTTGGCAGGCGCTGGGACCGAACGATGGGAGCGCACCCCGCCGCGGGGATTCGAACCGCCGACCTTTCGATCGGCAAGCCCTAGGCGCTGAGGCTTTTACCCACAGCGCCACCCGCGTCTTTCACAACTATAGTGAGCGGAAATGTAACCAAAGAAAGTTGAAAAGAACCTTGGAATCTTGCTAGTATTCATTTTTATTTCTTGCAGTTATTCACATCAGTTTGATTTTTTAGATTTTCATTAGTTTCATTAGCTCTTCGTTTAGCATGAATTCTGAAAACTTTCCTGTTTGATAATTCTGGCTATATCTGAACTGATCTGTTCTTCCTGTGAACAAGCAGCCAGCACAAATAATATGCCTCAATCACCTGTCTTATCATCATTATCATTATCATCATCACCATTATAATATTTATTTATGTCCCACTTTTTTCTCAGTCCAGGACTCAAGGCGGCATACACAGGTAAAACAGAACAAGCTACAAACAGAAAAGGCAATCATTAAAATGGAATTATAAATACCAATAGTATTAAAATAATATAAAAAGATGCATTAAAATACTATGGCTCAGGCTTCCACAACATGGTGCCCTCCCAATATTTTGGACTATAGCTTCCATCAGCATCAGCCAACATGGGCAATAGTCAGAGATGATAGTTGTAGTCCAAAACATCTGGAGGGCACCAGGTTGGGAAGGTGCCCTGGTCTTTCTGTTAAAAGGGTATACATATTATAGCTTCCAAGTGTCTCTTCATTCTTGGTAGGGCACAATCTGTCGTCTAGTTTGCTAGGGAGCCGAGGGCGATGAAATGGTTGGTTTGCAAGGGGGAGGGGGAAGTCTCAATGTGAACTTGACAAAACACAGGCAGAGCTTATCATCAAGTGTAATCTGCACACTCTTAAAATGTTTAGCAGTGGTCTGTATAACAAAACTTGTGCAGACCGCTTCACAGAGGTATCGAGCATGCTGTCAAGTCCTGTTGTGTGCCACTGTACAGTTCCAGCTGTTCCAGCCTGAGCTGTGAACAAGGTGTCTGAATGGATCCAGCCTACCACAGGGCTGCTCAATTCCTGCCTCTCTTCTCTTCTTACATCTACCAGGGGACTGTGGCTCCAACAATCTTAAAATAAATGGTTCTGAGACCACTACTAAAGAAATTCTTCCCGTACTCTGAGACTGGTCGCAACCACCACCACCACCAAGTCGCAATGCCTTGTCACTGCGCAGTTCCAGCCTCTGTAGGAAAACACCTATTACATGGATCCATTTTAATTGGCTTTCTTGACGGAGTTTGACTCAGAAACTGTTTTGTTTGCCCTGATGAATTAGCTACACCAGTATATGTTGCTAAGATCCACAAATGGAAGTTTGAGTTCCAAGGATATAATGAGACATATCATGCAGTTGTCTAGTGGAAAGACCCTGCATAATAATCCACAGCTTGACAAAGGAAGTCAAGAATATAACTATTGTGATAGGCAGATTTTTCCAAGGCCTATCGGAGATTATGTATATCAACTAGGAAATGTGCACAATTCCTTCTTCATGGGCAAATCATGTGTACATTCTCCATGATGCTTGATTGTTATGTGCGTTAACTACTCAGCTTACATTCTCCTTAACAAATGCATCAGAGCAGTTAAAATAATTTGTGAGGTATTTTAAAATGCTGCATGAATCTGAAAACTTGCTGAAATAATACAATGTTAGTTACAATGTTAAGTTTCAGTTTGTCAACCTGGGGTGGATCTACACAGAGGGGGGGAAATGCTATAAATAAATTAGACCCTTATAACAACAACAACAACAACTACTATCGAAAAACACATATATAAATTTCCTGCTCTCTCGCACCATCTCGTGTTGCATGTTTATAGCACATTCAAATTGTTGTTTCTTTATTAATGTAGCTGAGTCCCTGGTTTTGTTCCTGAACTGGCTCCAAACACTGGTTTACCACATCCACTGCCTCTCTTGCATTGGATGACAGGAACAAGAGTTATGAGATATCAGACGTGTCTAAAGAGCCAAGGCTTATTGTAGCAATAGAAGGCAATGAAAGGCTACATCACATTTTGTAGACTTCAACGATATCCCATGTCCCCTAAATTGAAGGTTTATAGGCCCCTGAACAATCGAGTATTAAGCAGCCAGTGAAGAAGAGAAGGGAGATCATTCCCTGCAAATACTAGTGAACATTATAACACAAATGTCTTTGTCAGACAGGAGATCCTCTTGAAACTTTGCCTCCTCTTTTACAGTATTTCAGCACCTAATAATCACACAAAATGTGTTTCACGTTGGCAGGTTGAGAAGAGTTACTGAACATACTGATCATCTCATGCTGGAACAGAAAAACCGTCTATTTGCCCATGCTGCTGATGCAGAGAACGAGAACGTCAGCAATGAAGGCAACACGAAGGAAACAATGATAATCATATGCATTCCAATCTGCATTTTGGGATTAGTTGGAAATGGAATGGTCATTTTGTTTCTTCGCTATATGATCAAGAAGAATAAGTTCAATGTGTATGTCATGAATATGGCTATGGCTGATTTTGTTGTTGTTCTCTATCTATTGAGTTATTTTGCATTATTTGTAGAACCAGCTCCTATCAATGAACACACTTCACGTTTTCTAGAGATAACATATATTCTTGGACGCAACTCTAGTTTCTATATATTAACAGCTCTCTGTGCTGAAAGGTATCTGTCACTTTTTTCCCCTGTCTGGTGTCAACATCACAGACCAGAGAACTTCTCAGCTATTGTGTCTGCCATTCTGTGGGCCTTCTCGTGCGTAATATCTTTTGTAGAAGAATTTACATGCTATCCAAGATTCTATGCACTTATGTATGAAGACACTTTCCCTTGTGATATTGCAAAAACAATTGAAGCTATCACCGACTTCCTGATTTTTGTGCCCATCATGGTCTTTTGTACTGTGGCCATTTTTATCAAAAAGCAGGAGAAAACACAAACAATGCTCGACAAGACGATTGCAGCGACAGTTATTCTGTTTCTAATTTTTGATGCGTCAGCTAGACTTTTGGAATATATAGACTACTGGCATGATGATATAGTAGAAATACCAGTGTTTACATTCTCTGTGTTATTTGATTCCATAACCAGCAGCATCAACCCTTTTTTATATTTTGCTATTGGATGGTGGAGCAGGCAAAACGCCTGGGAAGCCTTAGAGATTTTTGTAGAGAGAGCTTTGAATTATGAAACAAACATAGAACAAACAACACAAGCAGACCAAGAGGAGACTTGAGAATAGCCTGACCTCAGAAACCAAACAACAGTCCTCATATAAAGAGGAGTGCTGACTTGCATTCCAATCTCCAGAATAAATGAATTACAGATAATTTATCTTGCTGTTCATCACTTCTGTCTAACCCACCCAAGATCTACAGCAGAGTCAACTGCATCTTTTATTTGAGCCAGAGGCTACTTGTCCATTTCTGATATGTCAGGGGTCAAGAACAAGGACGTTGAAGTAGAGGTAGACCTGTGGAAGGTTAAAAAATGTTAACCTTACCAAAAAAAACTTTGCAGTGTGTTGCAGTGATTGGGCGACTACAGAATGAGACTTAAATCTCAAATCACGACATAAACTTCAGCAAAAGCCACAGAAAAGAAGGATCAGAGAGTAGCCAATATATACAAAAACCAGAAAGAATCAGAGTGGAGGAGAGGAAAGGAGGAAAAGTATGGAATCAAAGGCACCTGGAAGGGAGAAAATTTATGGGCAGGTATCTACTGTCTGAAAGACCACAATTATTCAGATTGAGATGCAGCTGGGAACAGAGAATGATGGACTGTCTTCTAGCAAAATCTTAATACAGAAATATACCCCTCCCTATCCACTACTTGACAATGGCCTGCTCTTCCATCGCACTTCCCACATTAGGAACCACACATAGGTTTGGGACTACTAGAGAAATGCAATGGATTTTAATATATTGTAAGTATCGCTTACAGTGATGATGAGGAAGAAAAGGACACACAGCAGATAAAAATGCTTCCAGTAGACGATTGCTTACGAAGCATAATTGGCAGATCCTCCAAGGAAGAATGCCAGCAGAGACCAAGAGGTCACAACGCCACAAATTCTAAAAAGAGAGAAGAATATCCAGGAGAACATCAGCCACAACAATCAACATTTCGAGCCCTCCCCGACTCTGTTTTTATATTCACTTTCACAAGCATGACTTCCAATGTCTATTTTCATACCAAAATTTATATACTGTTTGATTGTAGTAAAACCTTTAAGCGCTTCACAAGAGATATCAAAACCATCAATAAAAACAGTTCTTTTTTAAAAAAAAGTCCAGAAAATGTACCTTTTCCAGACACCCCTAATCACCACCTCAGTTTTGGTCTCCCACCTCCTAAAGTACTGAAAATAAAACTGAGTACAGATATAGAGTTGCTACATGTATACCCAGATCCATGCTTTGCAGCAAACTGTCAAGAATAGGAAGGGATTTCTTTCAGTCTCTCTTCCCTCACTTTTGGGTGGGTGGGTGGGTGGGAGATATGACTTTAAAAAGATAAGTTTCATCAAGGCCTCTATTAATAATAATAATAAATGAGATTATGTATAAAGTTAACTTTACTTACTGAAGGAAGAAATTCACCTGTGGAGAATGCCTCCAGTGGTGGTATGGGGAAATCTGCACGTTGGGATGATTTTTATATTCTCTCAAAACCATTCTGACACTGTAAGAATAATTAAGAAAAGTACAACTTTGACCTACAAAGAAGAAGAATGATCTGATAGTCAAAAAATAGCTTCTGGACCCAAACTGGTGCTGTTTGAAGCTGTAAATCTGTCAACCCAACTGCTGTTTTCACCGGACAATTCCCTTCCAAAAGACTCTACCCACCTGCTATTTATTTATGGACAATACATCCTAAACACACCGTCACTCATCCCTATTCTTGCAACTCTCAAGGCCACAGGTTGACTGTCTGCCATGAGGGAGGGCAGGCTCCATCTACCTACACACCCTCTTTCTCCCCCTATTTACAGCGGGACTTGACATCTTTCCGTAGGGCCTGCAAGACAGAGCTGTTCCACCAGGCCTTTGGCCGAGGCACAGTCTGACCCCCTCCTTTGGTAATCCTCACAGAACTCTAGCCCAATGGTTGCCATTAATTTGATTCTGAATTGATTTGATTCTGAATTGATTTTAGAATGTCTTTCTATTAATTGATTGTGATTTTATGTAAACTGTGTTACTTTTACTGTTGTTAGCCGCTCTGAGCCCAGCTTCGGCTGGGGAGGGCAGGATATAAATAAAATTTTATTATTATTATTAAGAAGAAAACAAAACAAAAAGTGCCCTTCACTTCCCACTTTTGAGCCCACAACCAAAGAGGAGGTATGTGATGGTTTTGTTTATACGCTTCTACAACTTTGGGGGGAAATTAAATAAAAAAAATAAAGAGAATACCTCCCAGCCACTCCCAAGAGCAACCCCTGTACAAACCCAGGTTAGGGCAATTTGCAATGTCCGCCTTTCCTGTGCCATCCTGCCCCCCCCCCCACTTGAGAGCAAGCAAGCCCTGAGAATATCCTCCTTCAGGCGCTGCTTGAATTTGAAGCAACCATATACTCCTCTGTCTGCTGCCATTTAATAATACAGCAAGGGCGGGCAACCTATGGCCCTACAAAAACCCATGAGTGCAAATACAAAAATACTTTTTAAAGTCTAATACACATATGTTTTGATCTTGTAAAAAAAAAATAAAGAATCTGCAGAAAAGTTTCTATTTTCTCTGCTTTACTAGCAATCTCTCCAAGATGTCCTAGAAACTGCATTAAGCAATTTGAGAGAGCACTACTAGGAAATACTGACAAAGTAATTTCTATAATGTATAAAATGTTGTTAGAATGGGAAACAAAAGAAGAGCAGGTGAAATCTGTGATGATTCAATGGGCAAGAGACACTGGTCACAATATTGAAATGGCTGTGTGGGATACGTTGTGGGATGTTGATTGAAAATTCACAGCATGTTATGTACACTTGAAATAAAATTAGATGAAAATGATGTACAGATTGTGTTTATCTCCTGATATTTGTGTTGGAAATGTAAAGAAAAGGAAGGTGATTTTTATCAGATGTGGTAGTCCTGTAAGCGAACAAAAGCCTTCTGGGAAATGATCTACGCATAATGAATTGAAGACAATGTTCAAAATAGTAAAAGGTAACGGTACCCCTGCCGGCACGGGCCAGTCTTGCCAGACTCTAGGGTTGTGTGCCCATCTCACTCAAGAGGCCGGGAGCCAGCGCTGTCCGCAGACACTTCCGGGTCACGTGGCCAGCGTGACAAGCTGCATCTGGCGAGCCAGCGCAGCACACGGAACGCCGTTTACCTTCCCGCTAGAAAGCGGTCCCTATTTATCTACTTGCACCCAGGGGTGCTTTCAAACTGCTAGGTTGGCAGGCGCTGGGACCAAACGATGGGAGCGCACCCTGCCGCGGGGATTCGAACCGCCGACCATGCGATCGGCAAGTCCTAGGCACTGAGGTTTTACCCACAGCGCCACCCGCGTCCCATGTAATGTTCAAAATAACTTTTAGTAAAAGGAAAACAAACCAGCAGCTTTTCTTTTAGGGATAGTGAATACAGAAATTCCAAAGGACTGTAGAAACTTATTTATGTATGCTACAACCGCAGCCAGAATGGTCTTTGCCCAGAGATGGAAAGAGGATGTTGTTCCAACCAAATAAGAGTGGCTGATTATTTTGATGGATTATGCCAAAATGGCAAAATTAACGGGTGTGTTAAGAAACCAGGGGGGTGGGAATGATTAAGGAGTACGGAATATTTGAAAAATCGTGGTATGCAACTAAGTGCATTGGTAGGGTTAGCTTAAATCAAGCAGTTAAAAGTATTATTAGTTATAGAATAATTAAGAAATGGAGTAAAGTGGAAAATGCAGTCTTAAAAATGTCAATAAAAGAAGAAACCACAAAAGGAGAGAGGGAAGCTTGATTTGTATTTGTATTGGAAGTATGACATTGTAAGATTTGTATTTGGAAATTCTTGAAAACTGCAATATATATATATACACACACACACACACACACACACATATACATATACATGAAATTACATTAAATTTGAAAATATGTGCACACTGGATTTCCCCTACTTCCGAAGGGTATCACTGTGTTTCTTGCACCCTTGGATTTGCAAGCATTTCAAATACCCAGCAGCATACATGGGTGTGGCTATTGAGCAGAGTATAAGCATATACTTCCCCAGCTGCATGAGGATCACTAAAGTAAAACTGAATCCAGATGTTTTGGAATGAGACTCTGTCTGGTCCAACATATATCAGAAAAAACTGGCAGAATAACAATGGCTAAGGTAGGGAGAAGGTGGTTTTGGATCACATACTTTTTAAAATTATTGGAGAGTAAGAGAAACTGGTTCCTCTTTAGCCGCCGCACATCAAATCTGCAGAAGATTTTAAACTCCCGATAGATCTGCTCTTCATCAACCCCAGGCCATCCTCGCACATTAATGATAAGGAGTGGTGGAAGCTTTATAGGGTCATCCATACCGGAAAAATTCTAAGGAAAGAATTAAGTTAATCCGTCAGCTACTGAAGGCACCAAGAGGAAGATTCACAAAAGGGTCTAAGTATTATGAAACATTTCAATAAACTATGCCAAACACAACACACACAAACACTGTGGTAGGTAAGAATGGGTGGTTTAACATTAATGCTTAACATCAGGTTTTGGTGGTTATTTTTTAAAAAAATCAGTCACATTGAACACCCCCCAAAACAGTTCTTGTTATTTGTTTGTGGTTTGGGCACCCTGGGGTTACGGCTCTGGGAAGGTGGAAGGGGCAAGTCCACTCACCCTCATTGGTTGTTGCAGCCAGGCCCAGACCTCAGAAGGGATCACACTATGAAGAACTGTTAGCTAGGCTGAGGAAGGGAAGAGCCAAGGGTGTTGTAGACTGACTTTTTTTTGGAATACAAGTCCTTTTATTGTTAGCTGGTGTCCTCAGTGGCTAGGAGTGCCTTTTACCAACAGCTTTTCCTGCTCCTGGATTGGGATAACTTGACCATGGTGGCCCATGCATTGACAACCTCATGGTTGGATCCTGCAATTTGTTCTATGTGGGGCTACCCTTCAGAGGCTGCATCTGGCTAGGGCCAAACTTGTGGGGTCAAACTACTGCCAACCTATAATGCCTTGGCTTTCAGGGTTTGCTCTGGTTGCCTATTATTAACAACAACAA